TATGTAAAATTTATTTATTTTTAACCTTTTCGTGTTTCAGTTGCTCCCAAATTTAAAAAAACGACAATCAATTAATATCTATGGAGATCTCTATTCAGTATATTCAAAATGGCAGACAAGAGTTCCTTTTCGTTTTGTGACTTGCTAACTACCAGGTCTCAAATCTGAGGCAATATTTTGAGACTAAAGGTAGAGACTCTTTAGTGAATAGTAACTAGTCACATATTGAGATTTTCCCCCAAAATGTCTCAAATAGAGAGTAGAGACTGGTTACAGAATCCCGCTAGTAATCTAATCTTTTAAATTTTCGGTCTGAACATGGTATAGGTGACAGCAGAGAACGTATATTTATAGAGAAGGTCCAACAACGGACGGGCGTGTGAACAGAGCAGAGCGTTCAATGAAAAGTATGCTCAGAAATATACATTCGTATTGCAGACATATGTTAGCCTTTTGCATATAATTCTATACGTTTATACACAGCACATAGTTACATACATACATATGTAAGTACAATTCAAATTCARATCGTGATATTATCATTTATCAGGAAAAAGTGTGCGCGCACTGCTGCTATATGTACATACATACATCCATATGCATATGTCTACGACATTGCCGGACAATTAATGCATACACAAACCAACATACTTATATGCGTACACATGTAAATATGTGCGTATGACATTCCCGCACAAATAATGCATACACAACATACATACTTATATGCGTTCCCATGTAGATATGTATGTCGCACGCAAAAACTACGAATATTGTTCTATAAAAACAACAATGGTTTCAAATAGCATCAGCAGCGTCACAAGTCAATATGGTAGCCAATTCGATGCCCAAATTTAGAAATTTGTAGAAAAGCACGCAACAACAATATTTTCATTCATGAACGCAAGCGCACTTTCAACAAGCAAACTTGCTTCATTCATAAAAACAAATACCATTACATCTCCCCGAGCGTGCCTTTGCCAACAATCGTCTTTTCTCGACGTTGGCAAAAGCTAAAAATCATAATTGAACAATTTCTGATATTTGCATGAGAAGGAAAAAGCGACAACCCCGCAAATATAAGTATTAAAATAAATTATATTAGAATAAAATTGACAACATAATTTATCTGTCGATTTTCAAGTCAAGAAATGTGCCAAATAAAATATTCAATATTCCTCTGATTTATGTGTACAGTGAATCCCGGTTAAGCAGTATTCCGCTTAAATGAAAATCATCCCTCTTAACTGCCCATATCTTGCTGCATCTCACGGTTTGTTGTATGAAATACTAATTATTGTTTTAAGT